ATATTTTTAATTTGAACAATTTGGTCCCTGCGTTTTTAATTTTGTTACTGTAACGCCCAACTTTCAAGTACGTAATGATAAGTGCAATTAATCCATTCAATTACAATAATCCCAACTCAAATGATCAAATCTCTATGTTTTGTATTTCATTCACGTGAGAGATTTACAAAAGAGGTCCACATGCGATACATATTCAAGCTTCGTAGAGGGTGAATCCATAGCATGTGTGATGGTGAAAACAAAAGAAATAATACAAACGAAATGCCCTAAAGGCTACAAGTTCCAAGGCTTAAGTCCAGTTACATAAAAGATGGTAATCCAAAAATCCACACAATTAATGCCCTTGGTCATTTTCATTGGATTATAATAACAAACCTATGATTTTCTCTATACTACAAAGAAAAGTCCAGAGAAATTTGTGAACTTATATTCACTTTCAATATAACAAAAACAAAAACACATTAACATCAAGAGACAAAAATATATTAAACACAAGCACATAAAAAAATCACAGAGAAAATCTGTTATGTTCACAAAACACTTAATTCAAAAAAAATTTTAAAAAAAAACAAAACATTTACTGCTCTATTGCTACGTCTGTAAATTTCTCTGCCTACTTACAATTTTCTCTGTGATTTTCACTGCACTACAAGTTTACAATTTTCTCTGTGATTTGAGTTCAATTATAGTAACAAACCTGCAATTTTCTCTGCACTACACAAAAAATGCAAAGTGAACAAAAAACAGAGCACAAAACGCAGAAAAACAGAGCACCAAAAAGGAACTCATAACCATGTTGACAGAGAATGAAAAAGCAACTCCAAAAATCAAAATCAACTCCATCGAAAATTCATCAATAATAGATAATGAAAAATTAACTTCAAAAATCAAAAAGAACAACACTGAGTTCGTCTCTCTCACATTGATCAAAACTAAAAACAAAAACCTAATTCAACACCTACACGATCAAATCAAATCAAAAATTGAAAACTTATCTATTTCAACTCCACATGAAATCAAATCAAACACAATGAACCAGATTTCAACTCCTACACGATCGATCAACACCTACAAACAACGAACACGATTTCAACTCGCACAGGATTTCAACACCTACAAACAACGAACAGGATTTCAACACCTACAAAAACCCTAGAAAATCTCCACAAAAATCTGAATCGTCAAGTTCATCCTCACGTAATCTCCCACAAAATATCAATATGATCTTTAGCTGCCAAATTCAAAACAACGTATATTATAAATAAGGGTAAGACAGGTATTTTACACTCTAAAATAACATTGAGGGACCTTAGGCTACAAAAGAACACATTGTGGACCTAATCCATTACTAAAAGTTGGATAGGGACCTTAAACCGATTTTCCCTAAAAAAAATTAATTTTCTTGTACAACTCATAATAGCATGATAATTAAGCTTCTAGTTTTATGCAAAAAATACAAGAAAATATAAGAATATTTAAATTTATTATAAAAATAATTACTTCTAATTAAAATACCTATTTTCTTACCTAATTTTCATCCTAATCAAATTCATACAAGAAATAATATTTTCTTTTCCTTTTCTTTTCTTTTACTTTATTTGCTACCAGTTTCACTTCCCATCATTTCTTCTTTCTGATCAAAGAGAGCCTTAGCTAAAAATATTAAAAAATTTATTAAAATAATTCTTTTTAGATCTTACTCTAGAAAAATCTACACAAAAAAAAAAATAAAAAAATTACTGGCTACAAAAAAAATTAAATTCCACTTGAACTTTCTCAATGAGAAAAACAACTTTTTTTTTTGGCATTTGACAAATGCATCAACTTTTTTAACACACACTTTTATCTTTAAAAAATAATAAATAAAATAAAATATAAAAAATGCTAAGGATCCCAAATATTTTATCAAATATCTCATATGGGTATAAAAGACACATCTATATAAGACATGATAAAATATTTAAAATTCTTAACATTACTCATAAAACATAGTACACAGGCATTGGCCAAACTAACCCTTATCCCTCTGTGTCAATACCAAACTAATAATAATAATAATTAATAGTCGTAAAATAAAAGTTAAAAAGACAAAACAACACTTATGTTTTGCTCTTTTACTTCTGTCTTGTGTCTTTATCCTTCTTCTCTATCATCCCAACATCAAAGCCACCCAAAATCACCATCTCCACCACCCAAAACCAGCCCCTATCGACCCCACAACCTTGTCACATCCCTCTTCTACCTCCTACAGCCCTCATTACAGGAAAGGCTGTTGTTGATGGAAATATCTACCTCATTTTACTAAATACCTAGCTAAACATCAACCAGAAATTAGAACTTTCAAAACCTTCATACAGTATGCAATTTCTTTTACCAGCGGCACTAAATTATAGGTGCAAAACATTCACCGTCTTAAATTGACAAATGATATTAACAATTTCTAAGCTGCAAATAGTCCCAACCGGGAATTATCTTCATTAACACAAATGACAATAAGGCTTATTCTTTTTGGCCTTTTCAGGCTTTCTTCTCCTTTATTGGGGGAGGAAAGAGAATACGGAAAACCCATGCAGCCAATATTGCTCCTATAAAGGGGCAAATCCAGTAAACATAAAACTGCTCCCATGTGTTGTGCTGGTTGTTTACATATGCCAGCCAAAGGCCTGCAGAGACAATCAAGCACATGTTATGCATCTAATTACTATATTAAATACTAGTCAATTGCCCATAATTCTATAAATGATCATAATTACTCAGGAACTTATAGTCCACAGAGAGAGAGAGAGAGAGAGAGAGAGCATCGTTGAATCACACTCCATGTTTGTGAAACAGAGCTACAGTTGGATAATAGTTTCTTACAGAATATGTGAATGCAGTGATTATCTGGACTAATGTCGAAAAAAAGAAAGAAACTGGACAGATGTTGAGGATACTTTCACAAAAATGAGAGAGCTTTTCGGTATTGAGAACATTAGATCAAGGAAGGCACTCCTCGGGCACAATGACAGTGTAAATGGCCCACCAACTTGCTAACACAATAATGAATTGTAAACCCTCAGACTGGAATACTAGGTGCTAAACCCGTTAAAAGGGCATAGAAGGCTAGTAGTGGGAGGCTAGATTCAATTATCCGAACTAGACATTAATTTTGTTACACCATCTCCAACGCTGAACCAAAATTGATATCAGATTTAAATTTTGATGAAAAGTGTACTTTTCCATGGTCCAACCGTTGCATCAAATGAATATCAAAATGAGAAAACAGCAAAAAAAGTATCAAACTGAGAACAAGTTCTGTATTTTACCAAATCACTGTTACTGACCGTTGAAGGAGATACATCGGTTGCCCGGCCGGTTGACCAACCGGTCAACCAGTTCATCAGATTAGGCGACGGGTTTGGACTGTGAGGGGTTTGAACTGGCTGAACTGATGGGTTTGAACTGGTCCGTGGCCTGAGCTGTGTAGGTGAACCGGTCAACTGGCCGGTTGACCGGCTGGTTGACCATCCGGTCGCCCGGTCTACGCATCCTTGAACAGGTTTGGTTTGACAGGTTTGGTTTGAACAGGTAGAATTGTGGACTTGGAATAATTTGAAATAATTTGAAGGGTGATATAAATTTCAATTTCATTGAAAATATAATTCAAATTGTTATCTTTTATATAAATATTTTAAAATTAGTGGTTTCAGTTCACTTACCATTGGATGGACAGAGTCTTTTGATAATTTGCCGCTCATATACATATTTTAAAAAGTAGCCGTTTTAATAAATTTACCGTTGCATGAACAGAGTTTTTTTAAAATTTACCGTTCATAATGTGTGCTATAAAATATATCAGTTTTGTATATCAAGATGACAGAGTCTTTTATTTTGAGAAGAGCATTACATTGTATGTTGTGAATTTTGTTTCTTCTGTGATTTTTCTCCTTTAAAACTTTAATTTATATTGTATATCATTCTAATATTTTTTACTATTTTACATATTGTATGTACTGTATTTTGTTGAAGTTATGGAAGATTTTCAAATGTTTGAAGAATCACAAATGTTTCAGCACAACACTGATATTAATTTTATGTCGGAAACTTCGCGAGAACAGAACACGCAGACCAGTGATAATCATTTCATTTCAGAAACTTCTCATGTTTCTCGTGGTAAAGCATTTACAATTATAGAAGATGAAACTTTATGTAGATCTTGGTTAGCAGTCTCTCAAGATCCCATTACTGGTAATAGTCAGACTATGGTTATATTTTGGGAACGAGTACTTGTTAATTTTAATTCACAATTGAGTGGTGAATCAAATCGAAACCGTATTTCTTTGTCTCACCGTTGGTCTGCCATGCAAAAGACAATTAATAAATTCTGTGGTTTTCTTGAACAAATTCAACTGAGGCAACAAAGTGGAACAACTGAGGCAGACATGGTAACATTTATTTGTGTTATTAAATATCAAATTTCTTCTCTAAATGCAGAAAAAACACTTCACATTTGATACATGTTGGGATATTTTGCGCCGAAGTTGTAAGTGGGATGAATTTCGAACACAATCCAAAAAGAGTACGCAACATGCTTATCCATGTTCTAATCCACCAACTGGAGAATCTGATGCATTTCAATCCAACCAGAATAATGTTCTGCACGAAGAACCATCTAATCCATCAACACGACCAATTGGTACTAAAGCAGCGAAACAGAAGTTGAAGAATCAAATAACCCACGATAGTAGATTTGATGAAATGGCTGCCAACCAATCCAAACTGGTTGAAGTGTTATCAACTATTTCTGCTAGAACTATTGAGCGAGATGAACAAAAGGCGATCGACCGTAACCAGAAAGCTGCAGACCGTTGAAGAAGGGCCGAAGATAGGGAGGAACAACTAAAACTCCTATCTATGATGAATGAAAGAGAACAACGAAATGAAGATCATAAAATAATGTCAATGGACATGACAAATTTAAATCCAATGCAAAGGGCGTACTACGAAGATTTTCAGCGGCAGATTTTATTTCGAACAACTAATAGATTACCTTGAAAGGTTCTGTATTTACTGGTTTCATCTATTGGTGTCATCTATTGGAAAAGGAAACGGAAAAACTGTGTACAATTATATGAAATGTCTCACTTGCGTTTTCTATATATGTAAAATGAGAAATTAATTAATTTGTGCTCAGTTTTTGTTTCTCGAGATGGTTGCGATTTATTCTCTACTGCTTCTTTGGATACCATATTGATTGGTAAAAACAAAACACACCAATTGCTAAGTACTTATCATGAATGCAATTCTTCTTCATGGATATGTCAGATAAAGGGGTCATATATTTTTTTTTCTTCTACAATTTCCTACAACTATCTAAATGGGTGTTGTTCTTCTATTACGCAATCAAGTCCAATGGGCTACATCTTCATATTGTTATAGATGATTATAATTCCAAGGTTTTATAATTTCACCCTTCATTCAATCTGCGTCTTATCTTCATCTCAATGAATCTCCTCTGATTGATTTCTCAAATAAGAATATGTTGTACATGTACATACAGTATTACAGATAACTACTTACATATAAATACATCCTTTATTCTTTTCTTTGGTTACCATTACACCTTTCAAAAACTTTCATACAAATTTATGTAATCAGAAACATTAATAACATATTACAGATTATGGTATGAGTGAAGGTCCAAAAGATGGTGCTAAAGTAATACCCAAGCAAGATCATTTTATATCACATAATATAACAAAATCAGTACATTCATAAAAGAAAAACTCCTAACAAAAGGTTGTCAAAATAATACAAGACAAAACAATGGATTAACATTATGGCACACCGATCAGCAGTCATTATCTGGTTGTGGTGGAGGAGGGAAGTAGTGATGGTATATGTCATTTACACGATGCTCAATTCTTACAACTATCTAAATGGGTGTTGTTCTTCTGTTACGCAATCAAGTCCAATGAGCTACATCTTCATATTGTTATAGATGATTATAATTCCAAGGTTTTATAATTTCACCCTTCATTCAATCTGCGTCTTATCTTCATCTCAATGAATCTCCTCTGTTTGATTTCTCAAATAAGAATATGTTGTACATGTACATACAGTATTACAGATAACTACTTACATATAAATACATCCTTTATTCTTTTCTTTGGTTACCATTACACCTTTCAAAAACTTTCATACAAATTTATGTAATCAGAAACATTAATAACATATTACAGATTATGGTATGAGTGAAGGTCCAAAAGATGGTGCTAAAGTAATACCCAAGCAAGATCATTTTATATCACATAATATTACAAAATCAGTACATTCATAAAAGAAATTTACCTAACAAAAGGTTGTGAAAATAATATAAGACAAAACAATGGATTAACATTATGGCACACCGATCAGCAGTCATTATCTGGTTATGGTGGAGGAGGAAAGTAGTGATGGTATATGTCATTTACACGATGCTCAATTCTATCAATGCGATTGTTTGCCATGTCATGACGTCTTCCAATGTCCAAACGAAACTCACCAAATTGTTCAATTAATGAGTTCTGTGCAGTGGCAAATGTCTCAAACTGAGTACCCAATGAATTGACCTGATTAGCCATTTGATGTTCCCATTCAACGCGTTGAGTATAACGTTGTTCTTCTATGGCCAAAAAATCAGTCCAATATTGAGGTGGTTCAGTTGATGGCATCACATTGACAGGAGGATCTTGTCGACCATCATCTGGTGGGACTTCATCCTCTGAATCTTCTGCAGCATTATCATTTCCCATTAAATTGGCGGCTGCACCAGCACGATTCACAGTATATTGCGTAATGGGTGAACGGATTTTGATCTCCATTTCATTTGCAAGATGAACCTTAAAATATTTGAAAATTTTTGTCAAGAGCGCCCCAAACAGTAATGACCGGCCCATTTCTTGATTTGCTAGCACCATTTCTTTCATAATTATGTAAGACACATCTAACTTCTGCCCAACCTCAAAACAGTATAACAAATAGGCATTAAAATATGGGACCGCATCATGATGTCCTTTTTTCGGAGTGACATTTTCTACAATCCACCGGTGGAGGATGCGAAGATAAGATTTTAAATGTCTTGCTTGTAGACTAGTTCCAGTAAATCTGTTCTGACATATAGTAGTATATACATCAGAACCATTACCGACAATATTAACTAACTCAGCCTCAGTCTGAAAATAGGTATTTTCTTCACCTACCTCAACTCCAATAATGCGTGCCAAAGTAGGAACATCAAACTGTACACCCTTTCCTTTCACATATGAGATAAGAGTAAAATTTCCATCTTCTTCATGAGTAACTCTTAGGTGAACATAAAAAAGGGATACTAGCCGTGGATATACCTTTTGGGGTAAATTAATTAAATTTAGCCATCCCATTGATTCAAGTTTACTAACTAGTAGTGCATCATATTGAGGTGGCAGATTGACCCTCCTCCCTGTTACAATAGGTCGGCTTGAGAAATTTTGAAAGGCTAGTTCATGACTTTCATTGAGAAATTCATCTATAGGATATGACTGATTTTGAGGCTGCTGTTGTTCGCGTCGTTGAGGGTTAGAACTTTCACCAGCTTCTGTTCTCACTCTTTTAGTTCTAGGCATGATGTAAATATCTGTTCAATTTTAATAAAAATGTGCTGTAATGAAGTAATTAACATAAACACTGTCTTTTAAAATGCTTACTGAAAAATGAACTTAGAATTAAAATGTAGACATGTATTTTTAATGAAGCATGGCCACTGAAAATTTAAGAACATAGTAATGTAGTATAAAAGCATGCAGACTCTCTATTCAGTACATATCAAATGAATGTAGCTCATGTTTTAAAACATGAGCACTGAAAATTCAGTATTGTAGTTCAGGTTTTAGTAAATTATATTCATTTTATAGAACTACAAAGTAACATCAAGTACAAATCAAAATATTGTTCTGTAGTGCAGGTTTTAATAAACTATTTTCATTTTAAAAATATTAAAGTAACATGAAGACAAAATGAAAATCTTGATCTGTAGTTGAGGTTTTAATAAACTAATGTCATTTAAAAAACATTAAACTCAACTCTTGTTCTGTGGTTGAGGTTGAAATGAACAACATTAATCTTGAAGACATGAAAATCAAAATGTTGATTTGTAGTTGAGGTCTTAATAAACTAATGTAATTTAAAAAACATTAAACTCAACTCTTGTTCTGTTCTGTGGTTGAGGTTGAAATGAACTACATTAATTTTGAAGACATGAAAAGCAAAATGTTCATCTGTAGTTGAGTTTTTAATAAACTAATGTCATTTAAAAAACATTTGGCTAAAATGTTGGCTTATTTTTCCTACGAAGGAAAATATCATAAATGCGAGCGTGCCAGCAAGGATTGAAAAATCCTTACAGATTAAATTCAAGCCAATTATCAAGCGATTGTGTTGACGGTTCTTTTGCCTCAACGAAGAGGACCAGTTGAAGAATTGAGTGGCATGCACACTGGAACGAAAAAAAAAATAAAATTGAAAGGGCCGGTTGACCAACCGGTTGCCCAACCGGTTGCCCCGTGACTCACCTTGCTCAATAATGCTGCCTTTTTGTTCTGTGGTTGATGATCTGCCTTGTTCCTCTGTTCCTACTGATGCTGCTTTTGTGATGATGGAGATTCACACTTGAAAATGTAGAGTGTTCCTACTGATGCTGCTTTCGTGATGATGGAGATTCACACTTGAAAATGTACAGTGTGTGGTTAGAGGGCTTCAGTGAAAACATGTGAAATGTGAATGTGGTGATGGCAATATTCAGATGATATAAAGGATGGTAGGTGGTTGAATTGATATCTTCTGAATGGTAGGTGGTTGAATAAATGATTTTATATCATATAGTTCAATGTCTGTAGGGTCAATGTTGAATGTGGCAGAAAAGTAGGTTGAATGCATCAACATCAAAGTCATTTACGGAATGGCACAAATAATTGATGCCACAAATAATGCAGAAATAATTTATGGAATGGCACAAATAATTAATGCCACAAATAATGCACAAATAATGTATGGCATAAATACATTGAATAATGCACACATAATGTATGCATTGAATAATGAAAATGCATTGAATTTAAAATAAATATACATACAAATACATTGAATATACATACTGAAATGCATGCAATCAGTCCAATTATAAATATTGAAGATAAATCCTTACAAAAAAAATTATTAGAATGCACAAATAATGGCATGCATGATGAATCCCACGAGCCAGACCCTTACTTAATTGAATGCTTCATTTGATGAAAAAATTGAATGCTCCAATCCTCACTTCTTAAAAATGCCAAACCCTTAATCATCAACTCTTTTTAAAAAATTGGGAAAATTGGAATTAAAAGTGGCTATTTAATAAGTGTGAATTTTTGTTAAAAATCCTCATTTTTCTTGAAACCCTAGATTGATTAATGATGATACCCAATGTTTTGGCCCAAATTGAAAGTAGAATAATGAAATTGAGGTGTTGAATTAGATGTGTTCAAGTTTAATTGGAATTTGGAAATATTTGGAAATTATTGTTGCCCATTGCGGGTATATACCATCAGCAAGGTAATAACCCATATCGTAACTATGTCCATTAACAGTATAGTGGACAGAGGGAGCCTTACTTTGGGCAAGATCAGAAAACAAAGGTGACCGGTTTAATACATTCAAGTCATTGTGTGACCCAGGCATTCCAAAAAATGCATGCCAAATCCATAAGTCATAAGAAGCTACTGCTTCAAGAATAATGGTTGGCTTTTTTTGATGGCCTACGTATTAACCTTGCCATGCTTTTGGACAATTTTTCCACTCCCAATGCATGCAATCTAAACTTCCCAACATACCAGGAAACCCCCGAACCTCCCCAATAGTAAGTAATCTAGCAATGTTAGTTGGTGTCGGAGATCTCAGATATTCTACTCCAAAGATTTCAATCACTGAATTACAAAATTGTTGCAAACTTTGAATTGCAGTGCTTTCCCTGATACGTATGTAATCATTAACTACATCTGCTGCGACACCATATGACAATATTCTTATCGCTGAAGTCATTTTTTGTAGGGGAGATAATCCAACTACATGAGTTGCATCTTGTTTTTGAACAAAATATGAATTGTGTTCTTGGATTGCATTCAAAATTCGCAAATACAAAGGACGACGCATTCGAAAACGTCTCCGAAATATTGTAGGTGAATACACTGGATTTGCAGCAAAATAATCTGCAAACAATCTGTCATGACCTTGCCTTCTATCTCTGCGTATATACTTGTGACCTACAATAGAACCCCCTATTTTCTTTGAGCTATCACTTGACTTAAGAATCTGAAGCATTCTACTGGTATTCTGCTCATAAGCTGCTAAAAGTGTAATCATATATTCATCATCAGACTCCTCATCAGAGGAGGAGGAAGAAGAAGAGGATGAAAATGAAGTAAATATTATGGATTTCAAAGTATCCATTACCCTCTGTTTTTGTTTAAGATATGATCCTTGTGTAGTTGTCTAAGATATGATCCTTGTGTAGTTGTCTAAGATATGATCCTTGTGTAGTTGTCTAAGATATGATCCTTGTGTAGTTGTCTAAGATATGATCCTTGTGTAGTTGTCTAAGATATGATCCTTGTGTAGTTGTCTAAGATATGATCCTTGTGTAGTTGTCTAAGATATGATCCTTGTGTAGTTGTCTAAGATATGATCCTTGTGTAGTTGTCTAAGATATGATCCTTGTGTAGTTGTCTAAGATATGATCCTTGTGTAGTTGTCTAAGATATGATCCTTGTGTAGTTGTCTAAGATATGATCCTTGTGTAGTTGTCTAAGATATGATCCTTGTGTAGTTGTCTAAGATATGATCCTTGTGTAGTTGTCTAAGATATGATCCTTGTGTAGTTGTCTAAGATATGATCCTTGTGTAGTTGTCTAAGATATGATCCTTGTGTAGTTGTCTAAGATATGATCCTTGTGTAGTTGTCTAAGATATGATCCTTGTGTAGTTGTCTAAGATATGATCCTTGTGTAGTTGTCTAAGATATGATCCTTGTGTAGTTGTCTAAGATATGATCCTTGTGTAGTTGTCTAAGATATGATCCTTGTGTAGTTGTCTAAGATATGATCCTTGTGTAGTTGTCTAAGATATGATCCTTGTGTAGTTGTCTAAGATATGATCCTTGTGTAGTTGTCTAAGATATGATCCTTGTGTAGTTGTCTAAGATATGATCCTTGTGTAGTTGTCTAAGATATGATCCTTGTGTAGTTGTCTAAGATATGATCCTTGTGTAGTTGTCTAAGATATGATCCTTGTGTAGTTGTCTAAGATATGATCCTTGTGTAGTTGTCTAAGATATGATCCTTGTGTAGTTGTCTAAGATATGATCCTTGTGTAGTTGTCTGGCATATAAATAATAATGTGTTTATATGAGATTTTGGTAAACCAATGGAGGGAAAAACAAATAGCAAAATAATTAGGAACAGAAACGGAGGGAAATTAAAAAAGAAAAAATAAATAAATAAAGATTACCGGTCGACCGGCCGGTCAACCAACCGGTCGCCCCCTACCGGTTCACATCGGTCAGTTCACTTGGTTGGTTCAAACAGTTCAGTGGTTGGTTCAGAAAGGTTTTTAAAAAAAAAAAAAATTTCCTCTACCCGGTCGGTCGACCATCCGGTTGTCCTGACTGATATTTTGATGAAGCTGAACGGTTGGAGTGTGAAGTATCAAATTCAGGAAATGACCATTTTTTAACTCAGATTTGGTGAAATATTAGGTTAACCGTTGGAGATGCTCTTAGGAGTGGAGAGTTAGTTTGCGCAAATCTGAAGGCAGCAACATTTAGATGCTAAGTAGTATCATATCATATCTTAAGATACTTGAAAGGGGGTCCTTGAAAGATTCAGTGTTCGGATCATCTAATGGTTCACAAATTTATTGTCTTGAAAAAAAGTCATTTATAAGGGATCAGCTTCTAGACGGTCAATATCTGGTTTTTGTATCTTTATGAAATTATGTTATGGCAGACATGGAAGAACTAAGGCTGAGGGGCAAGTCAATACACATGTCGACATGCCTTTGAGTACATTTGTCCGTGTTCCTCTTAGTTTATGTTCTGATTGGATAATAACAAAAAGCATTTCTGGTGCATGATGTGCTGAATCACTGCTCAAAAGATAACTTCACACAAAAGGAGAAACACATGTTCACGGCAAAGGCCAGCAACACAAAGTTCTTAAGGTGCCCTCAAAATTGCCATCATTTCAAATCAAACGCCAAACTACACAAGGGTATATTTATAAAGTCGTTGCTAACTCCATCACAAATATAAAAGGATTGCAAAATTTCAAAATTTAAAAAACTAACATTAAAATTACGAAGTTCAGATAGAAATTACAGCTGAGGAAGAAGAAAAACATTGACTGCTCAAGAAAATGGGAATTGTTTTACATAAAATGTTAGTAAGCTACATGGGATTTGGAATATGCAACAAAGAAAAATGTGCGAGTGTGTTAAAAAAACAACAAATGAGGCACTCAGTGAGCCGAGAGGAAAAATGCCATTATGTAAGGATGTCCAAAATGTAGAAATGTGGAATGAGGATGTCCAAAATGTAGTGAAAACAAAATGGGTTTGTTATAAAACTTGGCAAAAGAGTAGAAATGAGGAAATTTTTGAAAAAGGTGAATGTAAAAAGAAAGATATCAAAAAAGCATACGATGATCTTTACAATAATAAAAGAGTACTTGACCTTTTACATTGTTGGAGGACTCCTTGTCCTCTCTCCTTTCTTAAGCTTATTCTAAATAAAAATCTTTGTCACTTTAAGAAAACCATAAATAAAAGAGTACAAGACCATAATGGCATTTTAAAGGTTCAGGCCATTGCATCTTCGTTAGAAGGTAATATACTTTGCATTCATAATTGACACTTAACAAAGGTGCTGGCCATTGCATCATAAAAATATGGTACAGATTCATTATAACTCAAATAATGTGAGTGCTCGACCAAGACCAAAAAAAGGAAGAAAATAAAAAAAAGGAAAACGTGAGTATTATGCCAAAGAAAAGGCATAGCAAAAATCACTGATGGCAATTGCAAATGGCATTTGTACCCCAAAAAAATAATTGTAAATTGGCATACGTTGGAACTTCCCATGGTTTTGCTAGATCCCCAGAGATTAAAAAGAGTTGCTGTCGTCACATTGGCAGGATTCATGGAAAGGTGTCCAGTATAATGGAGCCGGTAACAACCAAAGCTACAAGTTCGAATAGCAGAGGTAAACCATGGTCTTCACAACTGGGCTTTCGGGACCCCTAAGGCAATCAAGAAGGACAGCAAAAGGATAATTTATGAAGAGTCAAAACCGGAGCTTCTATATACACACACCCCTTTCCTCTCTATACAAATCCTTCTCAATACACACAGCTAAAAAAAAAAAAAAATATAAATCCCTAAATATTTGCACTCACACACACATCATCATTCCACCGATATACTCCAAATGTAAATCATACACCACACACCCCTTCCTCACACACACACACACACCCGTGACAGACCCCTTCTCACACGACACACCCATCGTGAGAACCCCTCTCACACACGACAACCCATGCTCTCGCACTCTCCACCATTCCTCCCCAAAAAGCTTGCATCGCATCCATTTTGTCATTGAAGTATTGGCATTGAAGGGGCATTGAAATTTTCACATTTTAAGTTAGTTTACCAGATTAGAATCTCTCATTCCTATTTTATTGTAATGTAGGGTGAATTTGTTGACCCATTTTTCAGAAATTTTCAGTCCACCCCAATGTAAGTGATTGTTTGGCCGGTGTTTCATTCGGAAACTGGTTATTTCAGAAATTTTTGTTTTGTTCGGCGATTAGAGTTCCGAAATATTCTGCTTCTATTCGCACTATAGTTCGAAAATATTTACTGGTTCGGCTTTCAAAGTGCCGAAATAGAATTTTTGTTTTCGGTTTTTACTTCCGTATAGTAGCTATAATTTCGGACACAAACTTCGAACAGAACAGTTATTTTCGGCAAACAACTCCGACAGAAAGATGTTTTCGGCAACACTCTCCCGGAACAAATTTTTTTTTTTTCCTTTCTAACACTTGATTTAACCATTATTATAACATTTAATATAACACTCATACACACACTCTTCATTGTAATTTTACAACACTTCTCATTAGGTTTAAAACTATATTTACACACACACTCTTGCACACCACTCCATTAATTTTTACACACACACTCATGGGCACACACTCTTTTTCATTAATTTTACACACACAACTCATTACACCCCCACACTGTATAATTTGAAAACACTGTCATTAATTTTACAACACTCTTGTTTATTTCACACCACCACGCATTACACACACTGAGTATTTTTTGCAGATAATATGGATTCTGAATATCAACAAAGCATCTCCTCTTTCTGTTAATGAGATGGTGTGGTAAAGAATTAAACAGAGTGTTGGTGTAAAAATTAATTGACAGTGTTTTTAAATTATAAGTGTTGTGTAATGAGTGGTAGTAGTGTTAAATTAATGAGAGTGGTGCATGAGTGTGTGTGTAAAATTATGAGAGTGTGTGCACTGAGTGTGTGTGGGTAAATAAAAGTGTTTAACTTATGAGAGAGTGTTTGTAAAATTAATGAGAGGTGTGTGTGGTTATAATAAGTGTTAATTAAGTGGTTTAATGGAGGGTAGAGGGAAAAAAAAAAATTGTTCGGAAAGTTGTTGTCCCGAAAACATCTATCTGTTCGGAAGTTGTTTGTCCGAAGAATACCTGTTTGTTCGGAAGTTGTTGGCCGAAAATTATAGCTACTACTCGGAAGTTGAAAACCGAAAAAAATTTCATTTATCGGCACTTGGAAGCCGAACCAAGTATAATATTTTGGCGGAAAACTTTATAGTTGCGAAAGAGAAATAGTAAGCAGAAAAGTTTCGGAACCTAATGACCGAACAAAAAACCAAAAATTCGAAAATAACCAGTTTCGAATGAAACACGGCAATCAACTTACATTGGCGTGGACTCGAAAATTATCGAAAATGGTAATTAACCCACATTTACAAAATAAAATAGGAATTGTGGAGAAGATTTCTTTAATGGAAAGTTAAACCTGAAAGTGGGAAAATGCATGCCTGTCCAATGGCCATAACTGCCCAAGGACACCAAATGGATTTTGATGAAGCTTTTGGGGAGGAATGGTGGAGAGTGGCC